CCAAATGGCAGATCTGTGTTTGATTGGCCGTTCAAGCAATCAGTGCTGCATTGTGGGGAGTTTAGTGAAGTTGTTATTTAAGTAATCGCCCTCCTCCCGATGGCAGTCTACATGGCAAAATACTTACTTTCCTCCCTGTTCCGACAATCTTTGCTGTGTGGACCTGCAAAGTATTTGCATAAAAAAAAGTCCTAACCAGGTCCTCTTTCTACTGTGCATACATGCCATGGCCCATTCATTCCTATGAGCGAGCTGTACTCATGGCGGCCTCCAGCCTTTAAGCAGAGTACAGTTACTTAAAGGATAATTTAAGGTGAGGTCGTTCTTTAAAATGGGCTCTATTCCTATGAAGGTGGGCGTCTTGCCATGCTGACATATGCAGTATATATATCTATATATATATATATAGATATATAGATATATATATACAGTATATATATTACACATATATTGTGCTGGGAACACATTCAACATGTTCACATTGAAGATTGGGAGCTGGTAGAAGAGGCACTCAATCATGTGATCACTGTGACAGCCAATCAGAGAACTTCTTACCGAAGAACCCCTGAAGGTGGGTGCTGTAGTGACATCGGATAGCACTGCAGGCATCATACGTAAAACAGAATGTCACCATCACACCAAACCAATGTAATTCCTCCTTTATTGCCACATATTGTCACATTGAAGTAAGGTTTTGGGTCCCATCATCAGGCACAGTGTGACCAATCAGAGTAATCACATGATTAGGAAGTCCAGGAAGCGTCCCCATCAATAAGAACCTCCTAAAGGGTCAGTGGAAGCCAGCAGTAAGAGGTTAAAGAACAACATAAAAAGCACACAAAAAAAGCCCACCTTCCTAGTCCCCTAACCAAATAGAACCTAAAATCCCCCACCCGGGTGCTAACTTACTTATTTGTCATGGTGGTGACCTTCCTCTGTTGCAGTATGGCTGCACTGAAGTCTATGGGAAGTTAATACCACTGAAGATTTCAAGACCAATGATGTACCCACCAGAGGGAGACATCACTGCCATGGTGAGGTAAGTAAGCACCTAGATGGGGGTTCTAGGTCAGGGGGCTGGGTTTGTTAAGAAGGTAAGTTCAAGCATCCGAAGGTTGTTTAGCAAGGAATGAGGGGGGGTTGTTATGGCAATCTGGCCAATTAAAACTGACTTAAAATGATGTAGGTCAGGAAAGCCACATTGGTACTCGTAGGTAGTATCACAGTAATCCAAAGTTTTGTGAAATCACTCTATAAACAGGGTTATTTAATACACCAGATGAGAGTGTAATTGTCTGTATTTAAAGAGCAGAAGCCCATGGCATTAGTCAAAGTTGAATAAAGTGCAACAACAGCATGCAAGGTGAAGTAAATCAGAATTGAGCTATTAAAGCTAACCTCCAGTGACAACAACTTTCATTTAAATAGATTCCTCAATAGCTACAGAGGATAGATATCCACTTTGTATGAACCAAATGCCTTTGCAAATCCAGATATTACCCTAAACTTGAATCAGTGACATCACCACTGTGCTGTGCATGGCCAGTGCAGAGAGCAAAGCTGTGGGAGGAACCCAGCAGGCCCCACCCACTACAGGAGGGAGTGGAAACAAGACCAGTCACCCTGCATAATGAGAGACAGCAGCAGTGACTGCTCTTTATTACAGGAAGCTTCTGCACAGAGGCAAAGTTTCACACTGGATTACTGCACAGAGCTGGACGAAGGAAAAAAAGCACACCAAGATTCAAGTAAGAATACACATACCTCTTGTATTTAGACAATATTGGCTTATCTTGGAGTTCGGCTTCAAACTATCCGATCTGAAGAAACTAAGATGTGATCAATCAGTTTCTATGTGTTGCTGCAATTTTTCCATAGTCATTGCACTATTATGTGTAGTATTTCCTATAATAAGCTAAATTAAAAAACTATTTTTAATAAGCTGTTTACCAAACCATAAACTTGTTCTAATGAAAACAGCTATAAACTGTCAAAAAGAATCAGATAATTAAAGCGTATCTATACCCCAAAAGTAAAGATGTAATATATTACCAATCCTTGGATAAGGTGGCTGCATTAGATTTATTTTTTTAGGCTTATTTCCTTTATTTTTGCCTGGTGATCCAGCCAGTGACACACCTCCTATCTTAGGGTGGCTCCATTCTATGGAGAAGCAATGGAATCACCTTTTGACAGCAGGATTGTCACCCTGTGGGGAGGGTAATGGATAGATGGACTAGGAGATTTAGGAGATTTAGATGGACTTAATAAATTAAATCTGAACTTCAACTAACACTTTTTAAGCAGTTACAGTAACAGTTATTTTTTCCATATAGGATAAAGGTTTTACATAAATAAGTAGAAGCTGACTATAGTAGGACCCCCTGGCAGTGTTAAAGAAGAACTCTGTGCAAATCAAATATTCACCCTTGCAGTGGGGCTTGCCTAGGGAGCTAAAATAACAAAGTTATACTCGCCTGAACTGTGATCCCGGCTTGCTTTCACCGCTCCCTGCAACCTGTCTTCTCCTCTGCTCCCTCCAGCAAGGGTATGTCTCTCAGTGTCCTTATATTCTATACACTGTATAGAACATGATGATTCACAGGACCTTAGACCTCTGGAGTGGAGGAGGAGCGAGGCTAAAGGATCCAGTCTAAGTGCAAACTAGGATCGTGGTTTGGGTGAGTATAAGTCTGTTATTTTAGCTCCCTAGACAAAACAAGCACTTCACCTTTGCAGTGCAGGGCTGTAGCCCCACAGCAAGGATTAAAGAAGAACTATAGTGTGGGGTGAGTGAAGTACACTCATCCCCATAGTTAGAGTTAACGTGTGACATTGAAACTGTCACATGTCGGCTCTATTGATCAAGAAATTAGCGAAAACATACAGCTGCTCGCTCACTTCCCAATCATGTCCCCGCAGATAGCGGTGACTGTCAGTCATTGCTCCCCACAGGGATCCCCCCCCCTCTGATCCTCCAGCGCTTACTGGAGGGATGGACATGGGAGGGGGCAGGCACAGCTGGCTCTGCCTCTAGATAGGCAGAGCCCACTGTCAATCAGCCAGCAGGGTAGATCTCGACAGTATTCTCAGGATCCGTCTCGGCTGCAGCTTTTTCAGCATATAGTGGGCAATAGCCCGCTATATACTAAGTTTTGGGTCACGGGAGGAAGTTAGTATATGTCCTACCGTGACCCTGAAGAGAACTATGAGAAAAAAGGTTAACACCATAGTTCTCCTTTAAATTTGGTTTGCTCTGAGTTCTGCTTTAACTGACTCCGGGCCGGCCGTAGTAGAAAAACGGCCGGCCCGGAGCTCTCTAACAACCCTCCAACTGCCACTTTTGCTGGACACCTTGGCCCATAAGTAAGTTAAAAAATAACCGACTTACTGGATGGACCACCAGATGAAAATAAAGGAAACATTTAAAAATAAGAGACTAAGCTAAGGTAAAGCTGCAAAATATTACTAAAGCAAGCTGCAATATATTACATTGGTGCTTTTAGGTTTAGATACAATTTAAGGATTACAAGCTGCAGTTTATTACATTTTTGCTTTTGGGTTTAGATAGCTTTATAGCTAACTTCACTAATTTCAGCAGTGACTCTTAAAAATGCATTCAAGTACCCCAACTATTAACACAAACGTAGCTTATTTGTGTATCACTCAGCTGTAAATCCTGAAATCATCTCTGAATTGGTGCTGACACTGTCCTTCCTTCTGGAGGGTGCTTACATTTGTTCCCCATGGTCCCTGTGTGTGTGGTAATATAGCCACTGCTCCAGGCTCACTCCTGTGATGGACTACAATCTTAGTACAAATTAGCTAACTAAACATGAGATTGCAGTCCATCATGGGAGCATGCTTGGAGCGGTGGCCTTTATTACAACACAAACAGGGACTGTGGGGAACAAAAGTAGCCACCCTCCAGAAGGAAGGACAGTGTCAGCACCAATTCAGAGATAATATGTAACAGGTAAGGTACTTGAATGCATATAGAAGATTTAACTCCTGAGTTTAGTATCACTTTAAGGAATGGAAGCTGCAATATATTACATTGTTGCTTTTGGGTTTAGATACACTTTAAGGATTGGAAGCTGCAGTTTATTACATTGTTGCTTTTGGGTTTAGATACACTTTATGGACTGATAAACTGCAATATATTACATTGGGGGGGAGGGGGGGGGGTAGATTAATGATTGGAAGCTGCAATATATTACATTGTTGCTTTTGGGTTTGGATACACTTTTAGGATTGGAAGCTGCAGTTTAGTACATTGTTGCTTTTTGGGTTAAGATTAAGGATTGGAAGCTGCAATGTATTACATACATGGTTGCTTTTGAGTTTGGATACATTTTAAGCATTCAAAGCTGTAAAATATTACATAGTTGCTTTTTGGTTTAGATACACTTTTAGGATTGGAAGCTGCAAATTATTACATTGTTGCTTGTAGGTTTAGATACACTTTAAGCAATGGAAGCTGCAGTCTATTACAGTTTTGCTTTTGCCACCTCTATTCTCTACATGCAACAGTTCCAGTAAATGCAAATAACAGCCACCAGTACCAGCTCTGTGCCCAGATGATGTATACAACCTGTTCTGGTATCAGGCTGGAGTGGAAGGGGAATCCTGCGCTCACAGTGACATCGATCCAGCAAGTACTGAGCTCCTGTCAACATTGCATTCCCCTGCACAGTGCGCTCATAACAGCAGATGCAGTGTTCCTATTCACTTGTGTCTATAATAAACAACCTATATGCTGCATTCTCACTTGCATGGATGTTTGATCTCACACTAGACACATCTACAAAAGCTGCAGCATCCACAACCACACAGGGACCCTCATGACACTCACAGGGGTAGCCAGCGATCTTGTGTAATCCAATAAAACAATAACCATCATGACATTGTTTTGAAGCACTGAATGAATCACAAAACATGGGTCATAAACACAGCTACAGTATGACAACAGCAGAGGAAGGATGCGATGGTCCCCTTACCTTGGCAAGGTGAAACACCTCGGAGAAGGGACAAAACTTGCGCTAATTATGGCAAGACTTCTCCATCCGATCCATGAAAGCGATGCTGGGTTGGGTGTCAGTCTGAGACTTGTTGGATGAGATGACAGAGGGGGGGATTCACTCTCAGACCGGCGAGCAGCAGTCCGGGGATGCTGGATGTTGAACACCGGCCACTGCGATAGCGCTGGCAGCGAGGGAGCGCAGGATGCACTCAGTCCATAGACAGCCAGCGCAGGCGAATGGAAGCTCTGCGGATCCTTCACTATCAACTGCAGTGACTGATCTTATGGGATAGAGGAGGGAGGTGGACGGGCCAACTTTTCACTGCAGCCTTGCTTGGCTCTTAGGACATTTGCTGCTTTTCACGTAGCTCAGCAGAGAAGAGAGGGAGGGAGGGAGGAATGGATGGGGAGAATGGGAGAGGCTGCATGAGACGTGAAGGTAGGAGAGAAGGGCAGCCAGCAGTAATTTACAGCCCCTGCACAGGAGAGCTCCACACACTGCGAGGGAGGATCCTGCTCGGTCTTAAAGGGAGCTGCGCTGTCATTCAGCCCCTTCCCTCTCTCCGCCAGGCTGGGGTACCGCTCGGTAATCGCTGTCATAGGAGTCGGTGTTTTATGCCACTGCATTACGTGCAGAGCGCTGCTGTCATGGAGGATTCCTCAGTCAGCGCACGTTCCACCTTTAGCCCAGGCGATCGCTGAATACATTCATCAGGCTTATGGGATGGGACTCATTGATATTATACACAGCTCTCCTCTGTCTGATGAGACATCAAGCTTTCCTGGATGTCCATCCTGTGAGGACAGTTTATAGGGGGATGTAGAAGTGAGTGTGATTACAAGTTCCTTTCAAATGGGCAGTCTGATCGGTCCACCTGTCAGTTTTTTTTAGGCAGATCCAATTTGATGTCCATTGCTAATCTATGGGCAACCATTGTAAACGATCATGTGTCCGTTTACACCTGGTTACCCCCAACTCCGGCCTGGTCTGGGAAAACTAACAGAGCAGATTTCCGTTTCGCCGGAACTGATTATTCCGGATCGGGGGTGATCTGATGAAAACTGATGCATCACAGTGGTGCAGCGGTTATCGCTTCTGCTTTGCAGCACTGGGGGTCCCTGGTTCAAATCCTGGGCAGGTCACTATCTGCATGGAGTTTGCATGTGTTCCCTGTGTTTGCGTGGGCTTCCTCTGGGTACTCCAGTTTCCCCCCACACTCCAAAGCCATGCTGGTAAATTAATTGGCCCTGTATGTATGTGAGATAGGGACTTTAGATTGTAAGCTGCTTGAGGGCAGGGACTGATGTGAATGTGCACTATGTAAATTGTTGGCACTATATCAATACCTTTAATAATAATAATAATAACAATGTCTGTTTACATCCCATTCCCCATAGACCGACATTGGGTAGGCTATGGATGTACCGATACCAATACTAGTATCGGGGCCAATACCAGGCATTTTCACGAGTTCTTGTACTCTGGAAAATGCCCTGATTCTTAAGGCCCTTTACATTTTTAAATTGCAGCGGCTGCTGAGTTCCTGTGCTTGTGGGGACCTCGGCAGCCTGCTGGGGACTTGCAAATAGCTGTCCATGGCAGTGCCTGTTCGGTTCTTTATCACCTCCTTCCAGGCGCAGGCACAGCCATAGACAGCCCCAGGGGCAGAACTACCGGCGGTGCAGCCGGAGCAGCCGCCCCAGGGTTTAAAGCTGGGGGGTCCCGCTTCCCACTGACAGGGGAGGACTGGGTCGGGAGGCAGTGGAAAGGATGGAAGTCGGGTGGACCAGCAGTGGAGATGGTCTGCAGGTGGAGTAGACCGGGGCCCTCATCGCCGGTCCGGACGTGGAGGAGGCTGGGCTCCACCATCCCTGGTATGGTGGAGTGCCCGCAGAGCCACGGGTGAGATTGACCCGCAGCCTGGTGAGATGAATTCTGCTTTGGGGGACATGTGTTGTCAGAATACATGTCCCTAAAGCAGAATACTATTCTGCCTTAGGGACATATGTTCTGCTTTGGGGACAGGTTCTGCTTTGGGGACATGTATTCTGCTGTGGGGACACGTGTTCTGCTTTGGAGACATGTATTCAGTTCTGGAGACATCTGTATTTAGCCCTGGTGAGAAACTGCCCTAAAATCATCAGTCTGTGTTTTTTTAGAAAAAATGTCACATGTCCCTTTAAGAAAAAGTATCGGTAATTGGTATCGGGAAGTACCTGAGGGAAAGTACTTGTACTTGTGCTTGGTCTTAAAAAAAAGTGGTATCGGGATATCCTTAGGTACGGCAGCTTTAGTTCTTTCTTCCAAAGCAAGATGGAGGTGAAAACTGGATGAATGCGAATGTCACAGCAGTGACCTCCGATCCGTACTGCTCCAATCAGTAGGAGATCCATGCATCAATCCCCTCCTGATCAGCACGTCTGAAAGGCCTAACAGCTCATGGGCGCAAAAAACCCCACAAAAAAACACTTTTAAATTTGTACAGCTTAGAATGAAGATCCCTAATGCCGTATTTGTGGCTGTGAGCGTAGCCAGGCCATTTAGAGGCGACTTTTTTGTACATTTGTATGTGTTCTTTTATGCACTGCTTTTGGTACTTAAGACTTTTAAATGGGAACCCTGAAAAGTGCCAAAAACTAAGCGTTTTTCAGGCGTTACCATTAAAGTCTATAAGGCCAAAATGCTTGATTCTGCTTGAAAACAAACTACAAGCTACAGGCATTTTGCTACACGTGACAGAACGCTTAGATGTGAACAGGAGCCTTAAAAAAACATAATGATTCCTTTTGTTGAGTGTTGTAGTACTTGGGCCAGGGATGGACAATTCTGGCCCTCCAGCTGTTGTAGTACTATAAGTCCTATGAAGCATTGCAAGACTGACCATTACAGGCATGACTCCCAGAGGCACGCAGAGATATGTAGTTAAAGCACAGCCTGAGGACCGGAGTTGCCCACCACTGTCTTAGGCAATCAAGCTACAAAAGGCCTAAAAGTGAATGGGGCCTGAGGGCTAATGCACATGGGCAGAAAAAAAATACCAATTGTAAGGCATATTTTTATGCCTCTCAACGCAGCTTTATGTTAGCCAAACAAACTGTGGTGTTTAGATCCATATTTTAGAGCAGTGATCAGGGGCATATAATAAAATGTGTTTGGAAAGGAATGGATATGTGCATGGAAATTCATTCTAGTGGCTGGAATTAATGAATGTTCTAGCCAATAGAATTAGTTTACATGCATACGCCTATGGGCTTGATTACACACCAAAACACAAAACTTTTTTTACTCTGCATTTTTCTGTCAGCTTTTGTTAGAAAAATGCAGTGCAGATGGGAGTATTTTAATATGCCTGTGTGTGTGAGCCGATGTGTCTCTGCACATTGTGGTATTTCGATCCTTAATCTAGAGCAGTGTTCAGGGACATTAAAAAAGGCCTCAAACTTGCTTATGGAGAGAAAAGTGCTGGTATAGTTCACACGCATAAACGTGACCTACACACATTAATTCATTCTAGTGGCTAGAATATATAATGGCAGAATAATAAAGTGGTGGTAGTGGCAGAATAATAAATAATATAGCTACCACAATAAATGTATGCATGTACGCCTCAAAGTGTTATAAATAACTTTACGTGCCATTATGTGCATTTTTTCACATCATTTTTTTTCAGATTTTTTCACGCCGTGTGGTCGTAGCTGGTCATACACTAATAGATTTTTTTTTTCATTCAACCTATGCTAAACAGCATGGATTGACGAATCTCCCCCCTCTGTCATAATACCTGATCAGTGACTGCAGCCACTGTTCAGCCAAAACTGTTCGGCTGCCCCCTTCAATATAAGTTGATTGTTGATAAGTTGACGAGGGGTGGACGGCCAAGGATTTACTTTAGCCAGGTAAGCGACCATAGCCATCCTATCAGACTCCAACAGGTGGAAAAAGGAGGAACGAATTGGCTGGGGGGAGGCTCAAATTTATGAGCTATTGGTCCTATCAGATTTGGGGGGCGGAGCCTATACCCACTCGTGTGCCGACACAGAGCCATCAGGGAAGAGGATTTGCATACGCCTCTGTACATAAACAGCTCTAACAATAAACCCTTCTTATTTGATCCCGTTTGTTCTTTTAAGGGCTCATAGACACGGCCCTAAAAAAAGCTTAATTTATGTCAGTGCAGTGATTTTATATTTACAGATATGAATGCAGTTCTATTGTTTTCTATGGGCCCATGCACGCAGTGCGTAAACATCAGTAAAAGGGTCCTGAATTCAGATCTGTAAACTCAAAATAGATACATTTGGGTCAGTAATTGCATGCTTTATTAGAATGTAAATAAAATGTTATGCGTCTAAACTCTGTACGGATGTTTATGCGTCTATACGTGTGTAAACACAAGCATTTTACAGACCAATTCATGTGTTATTTATGCAGGAAACATCTGCCTGAACTCTCCTCCAAAGGTGATCAGTGTTTAAAGATGCCTGTGCATGAGCCCTAAATAGAGCACAGTGGCTTTGTGGTTAACACTTCTGCCTTGCAGCCCCGGGACCAAGATACTATTTGCATTTGGTTTGCATGTTCTTGCATGGGCTTCCTTTGGGTACTCTGGTTTCCTCCCACACTCCAAAGACATGCTGGTTGGTTAATTGCCTCCTGTTTAGGTTGACTTTCGTATGTGTATGTGCAGGTCTTGAATTAGTCTATGCACATTAAACAGTCATATGGCAAATGTACCTTGATGAATATATAGACTCATGTTTGACTTCTGTCCATGCTACGATTGTCTAGCAATCAGCTTTGGAAACATAAGTTTAACATGCTGTTCTCTCTTTGGACAACAGAAGTTATAGACATGTTATGGAGAAGAAGAAAGGCAGGGTTATCCTTATAATGAGGCAGCCTAGGGCTGTTGCCTCGGACGACATCCCTCTAGGTCATGTGGGGGGGGCGGCAGGCAGTTTTTGTTTGCAGTGTGCCTGCCACCCCCTTTTTTCGCCAGAGTGTTCCTGTTCCAGGTGCCATGCACATCTCCCCACCCAGCTCTTAGGAACCGTGGACACTCTTGCCGGCGTCCCGCCGAGCTCCTGGCAACCAGTGGCATCACTGGTTGTCAGGAGCTT